TATGGATAGTGTATCTTGAACACCATTTTTTATGCTGGGGACGCTGTATAAAAATGACAATTTCAAAATATATAGGTCTGGGAAAGATGCATACTGCGTCACTATAGAATGAATTCAACACTACTATCACAATTTTATTGATGTTAGGTGTCAACTTCACACATATGGATATATTCATATGGATTATAGCCATTTGGGTCTTCAAATATATAGCCATATGTGTGTAGCCGACACCTAATATCAATAAAATTGTGAAAACAGTAGTGTAATTCATTCTATATTGACGCAGATGCATTAAACCTTTCCCAGACCTATATATTTTGAAATTGTCATTTTTACACAGCGTGACAGTTTGGTGAAGTAGTTGAAGTGGTTCAAGTACTCTCACAACACAAACTATCATAATATCATTGAAGGATGAAGTTTTTATGTTTATTGAGCTTTTCCGCACCAAATACTTAAAGGGGGCTCATATCTGACGAACATTTCTATGAAATCATATAGAAACTGTCTGGCTTCCAAGATGCAAAAATAATTTGTATGGATAGTGTATCTTGAACACCATTTTTTATGCTGGGGACGCTGTATAAAAATGACAATTTCAAAATGTATAGGTCTGGGAAAGATGCATACTGCGTCACTATAGAATGAATTCAACACTATTATCACAATTTCATTGATATTAGGTGTCAACTTCACACATATGGATATATATATTCGAAGACTCAAAATGGCTTGGTTTCAGAAATATCACATATTTAAATTCAAAAATTACTGTTAAATCCACACCATCTGCTCATTCATGCCGCACCCAATATTTCTCACAGGCTCCATCTGCATAGGGTGTAGAAGATAAGTTTTGTTGTTTTGGTTCAACATCTGAGAAGCTTAGTTTTGTTTATCACAGAGGATTCCATACAATCCATGACTACAAACTGAACAGTATCAGTTAATTCTAAGTTGGTCTCTCACTGGACAGGTTGATAGTTTTTAGAACTCCTGGATTTTTGCATAGTTTGCCAATAAAGTGTCTAATTTTACGATATAATTTCTCAAAATAAGATGGATATGTTACCTAAAGTGGTGGAAGACGTATTGGAACTGTTAAAATCGCAAGGACAGATGTTTGACAACTATAAAATGCAAGGCAATGGATTATATACAACTATAAGTTTGAGATTTACAACAGGCGAATATACTGGACAAGAGGTCAGGCAAAACACAAACCAAGTACACAGAGACCAAGTTAGAAAGACCCAGTTCAACAACTCAAACTTAAAACAATCTAACTGTGATAATGATTCGCAATACAATACCATGTTTTATAATGAAACTGAGAACAATAGGAAATTAGCAGGCACTCATTCCTCAAAACCTCTGAGTGAAGCTGACTGGTGCAAAGCACAACCATTCACACCAAAACAAATTACTGTAGCCAGTGATTGTGAGGGACCATATGAAAACATACAAGGGAATGTTGAAGGACAGACAATACGTATGGAATCTGCATCAATTCAAAGTGATAAACAGGCAACTGGTGTGGATTTGAAGACACACAACATCGATAATATGATGACAGGTTCGAAGGAAAAGCAAACTGAACCAAAATTAAAAGAACAATCTAAAACAACAAAAAAGAGCAATTCTCGGTATAAAGGTCCAACTGTGAAAAGATCCAGCAATACAGACGGGACTTTGTCAAATGATTACTGCACCCAAACAAACATTACTCCAACTGAAAGTAAAGCAGTGAGTGGAAATATTCGAAAATCGAATATAGCTACAAACACAGATGGAACCCTAATGAAAGCAACTGTCGTTGAGAGCAAGCTTAGTGGGGAACACTTCAACACCAATGATCTTAAGTCACGTTTAGAAGACAGTACGCGGAATACTGGCATACATGATACCTTTCTAGGTCATCAAGAACGTGGAGATGAGGACATGGATATATATATTGCAAACCTTGATGACTTTCTTGTGGTTATATCGAAGGACATGAAAGACAATGAATCTGAGATAAATGGGACATTATTAAAAGATCCTGATGCCAAGTGGATTGACATTGCATATGAAATACTTCTAAACAGCATTTGTGTCAGTGAACAGACAGGACTCGAATGGATACACGATCATGTCTTTGAATTCATTAAAGGTGGCCCTGAAATTATTCTATCCCTACAAGCCGTTAGCCAAGATCCACAGAAGGACGCATGAATCCGATTATCATACCTTTGGCCGATTGTTTATTCCATCAGTTTCAAAAATAAGACCTTTACAGGGTGAAATGTATTTGACACGTTCCTTCACAATATAATCACTAAATAATTAGCACTTTACAGGAATTCCTGGGGTGAGATTGAATTTGTGTTTATTGAAGGAGACCCTTGTTGAAAATGTCCACCCTTTAAAGGTCTGAAATTGTTACTCTATGAACTTTGATTGTAGACAAAATTTTGAAATAATAAAAAAAGGGAGGAAAAAATACAATAGCAGGGGTTTTACTAGAATTTCTCGCAACAGGCTAAGTAAATGAAAACAACAGGTAAAATTAATGGAAATCATAAATTCAACATGAAAAAGTAAAGGTCCCTAAAACCAACAGGCGATTTTATGAAAACAACTGGTGAAAATCACCTGTTGCCTGCTGCTAATGAAACCCCTGCAATAGGGCGAAAGATTAATGGAGTCGCAATTCTCTTGTGTTATTTACATCAATTAGAGATAATGGCAAAACAGATGTTTACAAAATTAACAACAAAAAGATTTGATATTGATCAGAATTATAGATTAGTTAATGGGCAAAAGATGTAACCCCTTCAACTTCACATATGATATGTACTTGGCAATAGCCATTTATAATATAATCATAATTGATTAATTCATTAATTATTATGTAATAATAATGTAAATTTAGTGGAAAACTAGGAAGGCAATGGTAATGGGAGATTTTTTGCTTTATAAAATGTACAGTGAAACTTGGATAGTGGAACACCTCACAAGTGAAACACTTTTTAGAGGTACCGAATGTGTTCAACTTATAACAGCTTTTACTGTATCACATAATAATGTATTACTCATTTTTCAAAAAATGTAGTGAATTTATGAACTGTACTTAGTGTTCTAAGCTTTAAAACACATATGTATTGAATTTATAGCTATCATACTGAGTGACCTTTTCTACCTGCAATTCCCAAAACAACTTGGAAGGAAATCTCATGTTTTGACATCTTGAAACCAGATAACTTCTCCATCAGATGTTCTTAACCTTCTATTTAATAATTTGGGGATCTATGTATGTACTCTTAAATGCAGAAGGTTTTTACTTCATGAATGGTTCTGTGGACCATCAATGGAGATATTTACAGATTTGGATGTAACACAGACCTGTAGCCAAAACTTCTTTGAAAGTCACACAGTTTTTAACCATTTTGAGCAGTTTTCAAGTGATTTGGGCCAAAACTGTCAAATGTGAACCCCCATCTTTTAAAGCTGGCCACATATCCCCCCACACACTCCCACTTGGGAAGCTGGCTACCAGTACTGGTAACATGAATACAATTTCCATAGAAAATTCTGATAATTTGTAGGATTAAAGGAATGCACTCAAACAATTCCCTTAATTGTGATTTGTTTATACTGTCTATACTGAGCTTGAGGCTTTTGGTCAGATGCATATCAAATTTCTATATTGGTTCATGAAAAATAGTTTTAATAAAATTATGTAAACTAACTTACTTTGTTTGTATATGTTCTAATCTCCATAGTGATCTGGCATGAGTGCACACTGCACCCGTTTCATACATCACAGCACTAGAACAACAAAATAACACCATATAAGGTCAATTATTCGACTTATTATTCAATTTATCGACTTCGATTCTGGGAGCCAATCCTCCTTGATAATATGAACATAAAAGGGAAACAATAGATATAGTATACTAGTACATGTATACCTACAATTTATTTATTAATCTGACAAAATAATTTTTGTCTCAAATCTGACCCTATTCCATCATCTAAAAATATCAAATTATCAAGGCTTTTTTTGAGATATCACTTCTGGATGGTATTGAACATGTTTTAATTTGTTCACTCCTCTAAGCAAAACATATACACAGTAAAACCAGTCTACACCAAACACCATTGTCCAGTCCCAATGGTTTTAGGTTTAGAGAGGTTTTACTGTATACATAAGGGTTATGTACTGGGAGGTTTTGGATACAGGGTTTATCCCAAGGGAAATATGTGTACCTCCCGAGGGACCGCAGGGACCGAGGGAGATACACATATTTCCCGTGAGATAAACCCTGTATCCAAAACCGACCGTACATAACAGATGTATTTCATACCTACTGAAGTTCTTGGTACATCATACCTTATAAAGATCCAAAATTCCAAAACATACTAAGGTACTAGACGTTTTCTTGGTCTTAAAGTTTGCGAGATTTCCAAAATATTTGAAAAAAGAAATTTGAAAAGAAATTGAAAGAAAATGTGAAAAAAAAATTTGAAAAAAAAATTTCAGGAGCGGGACCGGGATGGATACAGCGTGTATCCATCCCGGTCCCTAGATACACTATATATTCCCGCTCGTTATGTACCTAGAACCTCAGTAGGTATGAAATACATATATATATATGGATGCTTTTTGACAACTTCTAGTAGAAATAGCTTGTCAGGAACTGCATAATTTTTATTATCAGGTTGGGTGGCCTGGCCTACTAAGATATGAATTCCATGTTTACATTTTATTTCATATAATAATATTATAATTACATGTACATTACAGAATTATACAAGAAGGTCAAAACAAATTAGGATACATGGCCAAGATTATAGTATTTGAGGTAATACTAAATACTCTTACATACATTTATAATAGTTGACTATTCTCTGGCCAAAACAAATGCGGTACAGGGTTAAGATTATAGAATTTGAGGTAATACATACGTATGTTGGTTTTCACTTCCTCTGGAAGGTATAGAGAAGCATTCATCCATATGTCCATGGAACAATCTCAGCACATCTCCACCAAACACATAGCCTGGAAATAACAGAATGTCACACCAACCTCAATATATTCACACAAAACACATAGATTGGAAATAACAGAATGTCACACCAACCTCAATATATTCACACAAAACACATAGCCTGGAAATAACACAATGTCACACCAGCCTGAATGTATTCAAACAAAATACATAGCCTGGAAATAACAGAATGTCACACCAACCTCAATATATTCACACAAAACACATAGCCTGGAAATAACAGAATGTCACACCAACCTCAATATATTCACAAAAAACACATAGCTTGGAAATAACAGAATGTCACACAAACGTCAATATAATAAAAAAAAAACATAGCCTGGAAATAACAGAATGTCACACCAACCTCAATATATTCACACAAAACATATAGATTGGAAATAACAGAATGTCACACCAACCTCAATGTATTCATACAAAACACATAGCCTGGAAATAACAGAATGTCACACCAACCTCAATATGTTCACACAAAACACATAGATTGGAAATAACAGAATGTCACACCAACCTCAATATATTCACACAAAACACATAGCCTGGAATTAACAGTTATTAAATCTGCGTAATCTGTTTTTGGGTTGTTTTTGTAAGCAGAGGATATTAGCTTATCTTAACACTCATCTCTTAAGAAACCAAGATGATAAATGAAAAAAATTACATTCAATTTGCTAAAAAATGCAAATCAACATTTTCAAAATTTGATATTTGGGAGATGGGAAGGTTCAACCATTAATTAAGTTCATTTTTCACAACTGCCAATATGTGGACAGCATATGTTACCTAAAGATTTCATCCTGATGGCCCCTGAACAGACAGGTTGCACGGTCCATAGGGTCTGTTGGAAGGAAGCGATCACACTGGCTCCGCTACCAATGTGCTGAAAAACACAACAAAACATTGTTTGAGAATTAAAATGTTGTTAAAAACCCATAGATTCAAATTATTTAGCCAATTCTTTTTTAAACATGTCTAATTTCGCTATTTGAAAATAAAGCAAACTATTTTGAGATATCAAGTACACTGTAAAATTTACAAAATGAAGAATATCACTTGCTTGTAACTGATAATTCTGGTTAATTAAAGACATGCAATCTATGAAAAACATGTGACAATGTGGACATTTTTACCCTGGAAATGTATCTCTTTATTTTTCTTAGACAAGCCATAAAAGTAACTTACCAGATATCTCTCTGAGGCCACACTAACTAAAATCAAGTCATCTCCAACACTGACTTTTTTATTTATCTCTAGAAATGTCATAGTAATAACTTACCAGATATCTCTCTGAGGCCACACTAACTAAAATCAAGTCATCTCCAACACTGACTTTTTTATTTATCTCTAGAAATGTCATAGTAATAACTTACCAGATATCTCTCTGAGGCCACACTAACTAAAATCAAGTCATCTCCAACACTGACTTTTTTATTTATCTCTAGAAAGGTCATAGTAATAACTTACCAGATATCTCTCTGAGGCCACACTAACTAAAATCAAGTCATCTCCAACACTGACTTTTTTATTTATCTCTAGAAATGTCATAGTAATAACTTACCAGATATCTCTCTGAGGCCACACTAACTAAAATCAAGTCATCTCCAACTCTGACTTTTTCACCCTCTGACCTCTGCTTGGAGGCTGGATGTATAGTCCACCAGCATGACTCACCTGGAAAAGTATATTTCCATGTTAATAATATTTATTTAATGCAAATTATTATGTATGGTCAAGAGAAGAAGGTATGTTGCATAAACTAGGATTGGAAGGGGGGGGGGCGTGGGGCCTGAGACTGTATGCATTTCTATTTTACATAGTTGCCTGTATGACTCACCTAGAACAGTATATTTTTTATTGTTATTAATATCTATTTGATGCAAATAACTATATATGGTATGAATGTATGGTATGTATCTAAAATAGCCAAGAGGATGCTAAGAGAGGAATTACGAAGGTCTGTGACATCAACTAGGATTGGGAGGGTGGGGGGAGTTGGGGCCTGAGACTGTATGCATTTCTATTTTACATAGTTGCTTGTATTTTATGCACCATTCAAAGGTTTGCATGAGACTGCTCTGGATGCAAGGATATTTACAAAATAAAAATTGGGCTATCAAATTCCATACTAATGGGAGTAATCCAGTGAGTTAATTTTCCCCGATGATTCAATATTCTCTTTTGTCCCATTCCTGTAAGACCAAAATTTTGAATTAAAGCTGGTCGTTATGACAATTTTTATAAGCATTTTAACTCATATAGCATACCCAAATATTGGTTTAAAAATAAAGCACTTTTTCAAAGGGTCAAAAATAAAGAAAAGCAAACCTTATCAAGGCGGGTTGCACTCACCTCACAATATTTTGTAACATGTTATTAGGTTTTCTATATTTTTAACAAAAGGTTTTCAAAACTGTCATTACATCTGCACATTTTTCTTCATCCAAAAAGAAAAAGATTAAATGGTCTCATGAATTCAAAGAAATCTACAAAATTTAATTCTACCATTTTGATAAAGCCAAGTTTCAAAGCAGGTTAAAGATTGCATGTTTTTAAGAATAAGTAGAAGAATAAGCAAAGCATTGTTTACCTTGCATATATAAATAAATATAAATTTTCTGAGTTGACAAACTTAAAAGAATTCAGAATTGGATCTTTTCCTTAAAGCTTCCAAAAAGCTTGAAAGAATTTTTTGTTTAAGAAAAAGTGTTTTTGTATAAATCTTGAGGCAAAAACATAGAACAGAAATAGATAAATTTACAGATGTGTAAGATAAACACTAAACACAATTGACTCAGAACACTATGGTGCAATAAATAAATTAAAATGTAGGTTAAATATCATGCTTAACATGCCATAAAATATATTTAAGTATTATATTTAGCTAGACCAATATTAGACTGCCTGTAAAGATCTGCTACACAAGGGCTTGACAAACTACCTATTTTTCCACCATGTATTTCAGGCCCGTAGCCAGGATTTGCCAATGGGGGATCAGTTTTCAAAATTTCCAGGGGGGGGGGGTAATACTGCATGATTTTGAAAGAATTTTGGGCCAGGGGGGGGGGTGTTGCCCGAACCCTGCGAACCCCCCCCCCCCCTGGCTACAGGCCTGTATTTTCTGAAGACACGTTATTACACTTTTCATAACATTGATAATAATATTTGACCTAGCCTTATTAATGCCACTAATTGTTGCTTAATGATAATCTACAGCTCATAAATGATTAATACATGATTAGCTGACCAGTTTGTTTTTTCCGGAGTTCCGTTTTCAGTTGTGGAAGGATCATGTCAAAGTGCTTTCCTGAAGACATGAATGCCATGTGCTTCTGAAGCCATAAAAGGTAGTGAACACTATTTTATATCAGAATTGCTTTCAAATTATTGGCCTTCAATGTTAATCCTGGAGAGATCACTACCAAGAGCAGACCCAATAACAAGATTACTCTAATTAAATAAAAATTATTACAGACCTCTCGATCGAGATGCTTGATCTTTTAATCTAGATGCTTGAGTCTTAAGAGTTTATAAATTGTACAAATATTGACTAACTTATCCCAAGAGGAACATTAATAAGCAGAATTAGATTCATCACGTATCCAAGGATTTGCCTTACAAAGGATAATAACAGAATGATTTTCCTGAACATGAATGAATTTTAGCTGACAAAACGATAATATAGCAAGCTAATAAAAGGATTCCTTCCTGATGTACATTATTGCAAATGTAAAGGAATTGTACCATTTCAGTAGTTAAACTTCTAAAAGAGAGCTTCATCTTACATTAACAGCTACTTTTCATTCTGATTCTCATACCATCTCTCTGTCAGATCGAAGAAGGACAGATATGGAAAAGGCGTGGCTTACCACTATGGCTACTTTGAGATGAATTATTTATCATCTCAAAATTGCTATAATTATTTCTCCTGTTTAGAGCTTAATGTAAGGCTCTGACATTTAGAGTGACGGAAACAAGTTACACAATTATAGATTAGAAATAAAATTGAAGTTTCAATCTAGCTTTCACGGGGATATTATACAGAGGATGGAACCGATGAAAAAATATAGAAAAACATGATTCTACCACCTATGTACCCTGCACGCATAGTCTAGTTATAAACTACCCTCTGCCTAGTTAAGACTATATATTATACTGTTTAGCAGCCCGGCCCCAAAGATTGGTGCCTGTGACAGCCCGGGTAATAAATCATTTCAAATCTACCACGCTGACCCTTTCTCAACCAATCAGCAAAGTGGAAGGAACATGTGCTTAATACATGCTCATTAACTATGCAGTGATGTCACAGGAAATGACAATATAGATAATCGTTCGTATTTCGACAATGAACTCTGATTGGCTCAGTGAGATCAGAGATTTATTTTAAACTGAAAGTCTAGTGAAGACGAAGCTCTCTTTTAAGAAGTGAAGTTGAACAAATACAAAGGGTACCACATATGTTACAACTACAGTAAACCCTGTATTTTTGAAGATCTGTCTGAATCTGAACATCTCTCAATATGTTTTCTTGGTCGTATTCTAAAAATTTGTCATAAGACTTCCATGTAAAATAAAACACACAAATGTGAACACCTTCCATAACCTAACCCTTTTAGTTGCTCCCAGTGGCATATGGATTAGACACGTTTACCTGTGCTCACATCCCCTCATTTTATCATAACATGTGATTGCGATTAAGCGCAAGCAACTCAAAGCCTAGTATACAATGTATTTGAAAGGACCAGGTATTTTCTTTGCCCCTTTGAAGCTTCAACTGATATTCGTTAGAACATATTCCAGCTCAGAATATATACAGGGTGATCTAGAAGTAATGGCAGGCTACCACAGTAACCATGAAATTGACCAATCAAACAGTGAGGGAGTAACTCCATAATGCTGGGGAACATTTGTACCAAGTTTCAAGAAGATTGGTCCAGTTGTAAATGGCAATATCTTTGATATAACTTTTGGATCACCCTGTAGTAATATAGCAGTCATCTATGGTATCAAAATTCCTTAAATAAAAGCCTTGATTAACAAGCAAAATCTAAATACTTCTATGAAAGTAGAATTTTGCGCTTAAATAAAAGCCTTGATTAATAACAAGCAAAAAAAGTAGAATCTAGCGCTAAAAATATTTCACTTACAAATACACAAGCAGTTTCCTAACAGAAAATACAAACAATTTACAGACTATATAGACATACAGGCTAGTAGGTAATTATTTAAGGAGCACAGCTGGTCATAATTTGGAATCCTGTTTCGATATATCATATCAGTATACAGAACACATTAGTCACAAAAAATCACAATAAACTACCGCTACAACTACAAAAATACAAAATATTACAGTATGGTGGATGCCAAATGTATTTAACTAAATTTGAAATCCATGATAATTAAAAATACCGAGTTATCATTAGTCTTTTGAAAATATCATGATCATTATATTAATAATCATAATGTATATGTTTAAATAAAATGTAGTAACTGGTTGAATTCCTAGATGAAGAAATTCATTTAACTGTAACTGTAGTTCATATACAGGGTGACTCCAAAAAAGCAAAACCCAAAAAACTTTTATTCAGATTTGTATGTTCTGTTTCCTGGTTCACTCTGTATAACTGCATCAGTATGCCATTGAAGGGTTTATTAATTGTAACCACAATAACAAACTATAAAAATCAACTTATGCATAATTTTTTGTCAATGACTATTCATTCAACTCTGCGGATGACGCATCAAATAATAATTCCATTTCTACAGTTGCACAGTTTATACATGTATTTATTATAAATTCAGAGAAAAAATCCTTCCAGCAAGATATCTTCTATCAGAGTAGCACTATCATGTTTGCCATTCTATGATTATTTGAACATGCATCACATGCCGTAAAAACATCTTGTGATATTTCCCAGAAAGGATATTTATAAATATAACAGAAATATATTTGATTTGCCAGCCGCAGAGGTAATTTTCGAAGATTGACCTTTGCCATGGGAGAATTAATAAAAATCACTAAAATAACAGTATCAGTATTAGTAATGAAGCGTATAAAATGAGCAGGTCAATATGTCTGATGTTGCCCCAAAACATGATCAATTACAATGAGGACTAACTCGTCTCCACCTCCCCCCCTCCCCCAATTAAGAGTAAATAAGGACATATGATTATTTCCATTAAAAAGCCATTTCTTTGAAAGCTGATGCACGCTAACCCATACATGGACCATTAGACCTCCCTTTATACTTGTATTTAAAAATTGATATACATACTATAACAATTTGATATGATCATCCACCCCCCCCCCCCCCCTTCAAATGTAGTTAAAGATGTTTTTAGGTATGCACAGATATATTGACCTTTTCTATAGATCAACAGCACGCAGACTTTCATTATCGTGGCAGACTAACTACATACCGTGTGCTTGTTCCTGGAGACCTACGTCAAATGCCAATTTATCGCTGGAAGTGCTTGTTGAAAGACAGGATAGATACTGAAATAAAAAACATAATTTGTTAAAAGTCAATCTAATATGTTGCTGCTATGCTACCATACCAAAACGTAACACTATCAAGTGTGAAATTATTGCAAAAACTGGAGAATGAATAAACAAAACAACTCTAAAATATCAATTTTCTCCGAATTTTTACATCAAGATGGTGCAAAATTCTTGTTTTTCACAATTCTGACAAAAATATTTATTTATAAATCATTTTAAATTACATGTAGGTGCAAATGAGGTTCTCATGTGGGTGCAAACTAATGACGCATGAAGTAGCTAAACTTAGTCAACTCGACAAAGAAAAAAATTATGTTTTTTTTCAAGTCGTAAAATATTCACTATTGATGTCATAGTTGATGTGAAAGTCATAGATTCAAATCCAGTCAGGGTGTTATAGACACACTTATCATGAATGCATCTGAACATGACAATACACCATTATAATGTAGAAGAGAAAGAATATAATGGAGTTGACTTAACAGTAAATCCTCTCTAAATTCAAACACTTTTTCCAATTTTCCGATTTTTCAATTTTTCCAATTTTTTCTATGTTGAAAAATTGTGATATGTCATATGTACCTCCAAATTTTTAAGAATCCTTTAGAATACCAAATGTTTTAAAAAATAAATATATATCATGGGCTTTCAAGAGACTATTAAAGCCAATCGGAATGTCACATAGACAAAAATATATTTTATATTATTTTAAAGGGATGTTTACTTTATAATTAAATCTAATAAGAAGCCTAATTAAGAAGAACAGGATGTGTCTGATGTGTCTAAGGAAAACAAATAGAGGCAATCAAATTAAATAACCTAATTAACTTTGGATATAATAAAGTCAGAGTATGATTTTATTTCTTGGACATCAAAGACTTGTAGATTCATGAGAATACATGTACATACATAGGCGTAGCCAGGAGGGGGTCACCCCTCCCCCCATTACCATTAAAAAAAATTAAACCATGAGATAGAACAAATGAGCTTTAAAATGCCTTTTCCCTGAAGATTCCAGCTTAATTTTGAAGGAAGTTGCATCAATATTTGTAAAATTCTGAACAAATCTTATTTTTGGCTTGTTTATGCCAAAATGCCTAAAAAAGTGAGCACCTCCATCCAAGTGCTTATAACCAGCCTATCCCAATCACATTCGGATGAATCGAGTTTTGCAGTACCAATATATTGTATCATATCAAGGTTTTTGTTATAAATGTCAAAAAGTGAGATACATATCAAACCTTGACAAATGTATGGCCTGATATGGCTGATATTCATGACAACGAATATACAATACAGCTTACAGAAGAAAAAGTATTTTTGATCAATGGGCAATTCGCTGGAATTGGAGATCAGCTTATGATAAATCATTCTATTTCATTTAAAGGGGATTTAGAATTGTTGTAAAATATCTATTTCTGACCATTTTGCTAATTTGCCAGAAATGAATCAAATCAGAATCTCCTAAATGTATACGACAATCACCCTGAGCTCAAGAAGAATTACATCCTCTGACTTAAACTGAGCAATTTAGTGAGCATACAACCAATGAGAGCGAGCAAGTCATATTTTACTCTCTGACTAAAATCAACCAATTTTCCATTTGTCATTCAACCAATTAAAGAGCAGCATAGTTTTTGAGGCAGAACACATTTTGTTTGGTTTGGTGAGTTCAGATTTTTATGACCCTTTCTTATGAAGAAAGATGTATTATGTAAAGTGGATTATGTAAAGTAGAGCCTCTCTGGAAGTGGAACACCTCCAAAGTGAAGCAATCAAATCCCATTCTGCATTAAAGAACACCTCCTAAGAAGAACACTTTTTGATGCCCCAAATGGGTTCTACTTAAACAGGTCTTACAATAGTTTGATTTTCTTTAAAAGAGAGCATCGTCTACCTAATATACAAGGCTCTGGCATCATAACACTCAGGGTAGATATTTATCAGTTATCTTAAGAGTGAGGCAATCATACCACTCTAGAAAAGGGTACTCTCATATGTGCATTAATGAGAAACTTGTGTAAGGGTTCCAACTTTGGATTATGTTCTTAAATAAGCCTGGGAAGATATCAGCATCACAGATCAATGAACTTATCTGCTCAACATTGATTCTCTAGCTATTGCTGTAATGTCGTATAATGTTCTACATTTTATAGAAAACCCAATGGAGAATTAGGAGATTCATATGAACAGCTATGAATTAATGATATTGATCAAAAATGTGAAATATTTCCATTATGAGAGTTTCATAATATGAATGTTATGATAGAACATCATTGTGGCTTGTTTAACGGTTGTACTGTAGGACCGTACTGTAGAGGGCAGTGTGCTTTTGCTATTTTTAGATGACTTTCAACATTTTCATTTCTTTATCTTAATAATTTGTGTTTGAGATATGCATGTTTGTCATTAAGGTAACCCAAGGAGGCAGGAAAGCTGATGATGGGAACATTTTGCACAAAATCACTATTATACTATGAATATACACAGTAAACCTGTTTGATCTACAAATACCACTTGGACTTTCCCAAAAGTGTTCAGATTGGAAGGTGTTCACATTTCAAGATTTCTAAAATGGAAGTCTGTACGCATATTGAAAATGGGACCATAAAGTCTACATATTGAGAGGTATTCAAATCAGAGAGATGTTTGAATATACAGGTTTTACTGTGAAACTAAAACTGCAAAACGAATCATATTAAAATCGTGAAAAATATGTTTTTCCTTCAGACCCCCTGGCATGTGCTGAATTTTCTCTCATGCAAGACACCATGATATAAGATTTAATTACAAATTATCTGCATATTGCAGTTTTATATAGGTATTTGACTGAGTCCTGGGGTGAGTCATAACTAGGGGTACTTACAAGACCTCATGATTCTGTGAGCTTGCTCATGGCTTAAAGAGGCACAGGGCTATATATGTATTAGCAAGCTCGGTGGTATGTTCACCTCAATGTGGAGCCTCAAATGCTCACGGTTTGTTAAGGACTGGTTAGTACCTGTATACCCAGCCTGTATAATTCAGTTTTTAATTATTCATACCTCAGATAAATATAATCAAGGCATGGCAATTAGGTAACAATTTGTTACCTAAAAGGACAATACTCTGTTCCTCCCCACTTTTTGGTGCTACCAAAAAGGACAATACACTGTTCCTCCCCACTTTTTGGTGCTACCAAAAATCATGCTACCAAATAGGACAATACACTGTTCCTCCCCACTTTTTAGTGCTACCAAAAAGGACAATACACTGTTCCTCCCCACTTTTTGGTGTTACCAAAAAGGACAATACGCTGTTCCTCCCCACTTTTTGGTGCTACCAAAAATCAAGTTACCAAAAAGGACAATACACTGTTCCTCCCCACTTTTTAGTGCTACCAAAAAGGACAATACACTGTTCCTCCCCACTTTTTGGTGTTGATGGAAAAATGGAATTTTCTCACTTTAACCTTATATCATTCATAGTAAAGATTCTATAAACTGATCATGATCAAAAATCACTTCAAACAGTAGGAACATCATCTAATACAATACAGCTATCTAAATGAGTCACAACTGTCCATAGGCAAATTGATAGACAGACATGTAAGTGATTGCAATGAAGAAGGTGACGATGAGAGTTGAAAATCAAGATAAATCATCTTTTTTCCAACTGACACCAACAGTATAAATCACCACAGACTGACTTCAAATGCTGCCCTTCAAGAATAATGTTAGAGGATACAGACTGAGATTGGTGCACTTACAGTGATTCCATGCTGTTAACCTCTTGACTACCAAGAGTGATGAGATTTCTTGTCACTTATGAAAATGAACTTGAAACTTAAAGTGACTAGATAATCTGTCATAATTTTTTTATACTAAAATTGTTCCAATTTCAAAACAATTTTCAAAAAAAAAATTAAAATACATATCTACAAATGAACTTGTTTCACTAAATTGAGCATCACCTGTTGTATATGAATGTTGTAAAATGTCAAAAACTGGCAAAAATGAAAAATTCTCTGGTTTTAAACCGATTTAGAGTCTGGGATTCAAGAGGTTAAATAGAATGATTAACTACATGCAAATCAACTGAACATTGCTGGCGACTGATGTAATAATCTATCACTGAACAAATTGAGCAGAAAATTATATTAAAGATTCCAAAATCAATTTTTGCAGCAATCTATTTACCCTTTTCCCCTTTCGATTATAAATCACATCAGAAAATAAATCACAAGTTGAACTTGTAATAGGAACATGCAAATAAGCCACTTAAAACAAATCACTTGATGAACAATTTTTATGATTCACAAGGCAGGGGTTTCATTAGCAGCAGGCAACGAGCGATTTTCACCAGTTATTTTCACAAAACCACCTCTAATTTTATATGGGACTTTTCAACTTTTCCATGTTAAATTTATGATTTCCATTAATTTTGCCTGTTGTGGGAAATCCTAGTGAAACCCCTGCAAGTAATCACAAAATTGGAAGGCTAGTGTTTAAACATGTTCCAAACCTTGGGAGTACATGGTACATGTCCATGTACATAGTAATTATTTGATAAATTCAACTGAAGTAGGAGGTACTGTCTTGGTCCAAATTATTGTTTCTTATATGGTATATATTGCGAGAATTTTGAGCTGGTAGGCTTCACGTAAAAGGTGGTAACTACTGAGTAGAATGAGCTAACTTTTCTTAATTCTTCATCTATTTGAAGGTGCCAAAAATGATTTAAATCATTAAAAGGGTTTAGTTAAGCATGTTAAGTTAAGTAAGTATTACCAGTCTGGTTGTTTCATGCTTTTTGACTTAATCAATGGACCATTTCAAAGCTCAGTGGTTTACAAATAAACATACTCCAAGAAGTTGTGTTTTCATCATCTTTGATCATGATGTCGAGAAGATAGGCAGAGATTATGAATGACATCCAGCCAATTAAGAAAGGGTTTAATCTTCCATATTGGGTAAACAATCATACTTCAAAAAAG